TAAATAAATAAATAAATAAATAAATAAATAAAATTTCCATGTTCTTTTTAATTGTTGCTTAGTATCCATACACATAATACTCATTGCGCTTAAGCTGCTGTGTAATATATTACATTTTTCCCCCCTCTCTGCCTCTTCAATATCTTAGATAGAAGCTAGCAGGACCTGGAATATGGCAGTTGAGTTTCTCCAATTGGTCTTCAAACAGCCCAGGAACTGGACTCTGGTCTCTGAATTTACCCTAATGGGTCTCCCCCATGTGCCAGAAATGGGAAGTCTCCTCTTCTTCATATTTTTGATCATCTATTTATTCACCTTAACTGGAAACTCTCTGGTCCTGATGACCATCTGGCTGGACTCCCGCTTACACAAACCAATGTATATCTTCTTAGGACACCTCTCCTTCCTTGACTTCTGGTTCTCCACTGTTACTCTTCCTAAGATGCTTGAGGGGTTTTTGGAACCTGGTGGCACAGTCATTTCTTTCATGGGTTGCCTCTTTCAGCTCTATTTTTCCCAACTGTTGGGAAGCACAGAGTGTTTCCTCTACACACTCATGTCCTATGATCGGTATTTGGCCATCTGCCACCCTCTGCACTACAGCTACATCATGGACAAGATGAAGTCCACCCGTTTGGCTGTTGCCATGTGGTGTATGGGTTTTCTCCACTCTTTCTTGCATACTTCTTTGACATTCCGCCTGTCCTTTTGTGGAACTATGAAAATTGACCATTTCTTCTGTGACCCAACACCCCTCTTGGAGTTGGCATGTACAAATCCTTCCATCAATGAAACTGTAATCTTCTTCAGTATTGGTGTGGTGGCCTTGATCTGCTTCTTCCTCATTCTGCTTTCTTATGGAAATATCTTGAGGGTCATCTGGAACCTTGGCCAGGCAGAAGGGAGATCCAATACATTTTCCACTTGTGCTTCCCATTTCATAGCCATGGCTTGTTTCTACATCCCTTGTGTCTTCACTTACATGCGCCCTCATTCCAAAACTACTCTAGATAGGATTATATCTGTTTTCTACACTGTACTTACTCCTTTGCTGAACCCACTCATTTATACTTTGAGGAACAAGGAGATGAAGACAGCTCTGCACAGGCTAAGGCAGAGAACAAATTTTGTTCCAACAGAATAACAGCTCTTTGTTGACTGTTAGATATGTAGGAGGTTTTCTGTGTGACAGCAAGAACTTCAACATTGTTCCTATTTTCCATTTTTAAGGGAATGGGGTAGCTTAACATTTTCTAAATCTACATGTTTGAAACACCACACACAGTATTCCAAATGCAGCTTGAACATAGACTCATAGAACAGAACTACCATACCAACCAACCAACTTTGAAACTTTTTCATAATGTTGCCCAGCATTTAATTTTGAATTTTCACAGCCACCATACACTGAGCAGAAGGCGCACTTTAGCATGATATTAAGACATCCCCAAAAGGGATTTTTCTAGGCATGATTCTGGTAAAGTATTCTTTAACAGAATTTATTAAGATAGAAGGTATGGAGTTCCAGCAACTAAGCTATTTCCTATTTGGAATCAATTTATCTCCTAACGCATTTGAGTGGATACTCTTTCATTTCTTTTTTTAATACCCTTCCTAGATTCCACTAAGAGTTACTGGCCTTTTCACTGATGACAAAAAGGCTTGCAACTGATTATTCACAAGAATGGTCATCTGAGTCTTTGTTAGTCTGGGAACCAAACTAGCAGTGGGGAAAGCCCTAATTGTAAATCTGGCTACTTTTTCCCCATCATGCTGAATTATACCCCTTCAGGCCACTTAATTCCAATAAATCTCAAATGGCTTGTGTTTAAAACAGTCAGTCAAGCTCTGTGCCTCTCTTTGGACCAGTTCTCATGATCACAGAGTGAGTGCTGCAAATTGAAAATAGATCTCAGAATGGCTTCACAACCATTGTAGTTTATAAAACAAATGCAATGCATAGTGTAATATGTGAACCTTTCATTGTGATTTGTTTGCTAAAACATGGTTAAAACAAACCACAGCTTAGATTTGTAAAACCAGTAACTCAGTCTGGCAGGCTACTGAAAATGTTGTTTTCCTGCACGCATAAGCAGACACTTGTTTTTTAAACCTAGTACAATGTGGAGAGAAAGCCCAGGTTATGACTCTTTCCTACATTACAATAACTCCATAACTGAAAATAGCCATAGTTACATTTTGGACCAGGAGGTGGCAATGATTTGTGAAGTGATCCAAACACTGTTAGGTCCGTTTTCTGCTCAATTTAGCATGAACATTGATTAGCATTTTTTTTTTCTAATGAAATATACTAGGGGTTTTTTTGCAGTCTAAAACCTGTTCACACTTTTAGAAAATTGTTTTTTCTGTGTTACTTAAGTGTAGTATCTGAGAAGAAAATGTGTCCTTTACAAGAGAAAATAAAACCCAGTTTTATTGTGCTTAAAGCACAATTGTTATCAATGGTGAGGGCTGTTTAGGTATAAATCTCCTTTCAAAGAAAATGAAAGCAAAACTTGGAACATTATGAATCATAAAACATTTGTCCCCCGGGCCATGCTTACACTTATATGACTACTGTTGTTAATATTATATATATTACTGTTGTTAATATTATATATATAGAAGTGGGGAAAGATCCCATAGACATGTCCTATTGTTTTGTTTCCCAACATAACTGATCCAACCTTATATATATATGGAAGAAGTCCCTTTCAAGATGTGATGGTCTGAGAGAATGACCTTGGGAGACAGGAGGAAGAGCCACAGCCAAGGCAATGGTCAGACAAGAGATATCTCAGCTCTCAGAAGGATTGGAGGCATGGTCAATGTTTCAGAAAGGACCCTCCCTCATTCCTTGAAAGTAAAGGAAGGGGCAAAGGGGAGAGTTGCTTTCAGACTTGCAAGATTCTGTTACTGTAACCTTACAATAAAGGTAGTATTAGTACTCATGGTTTGGGCTTCTCATCTGAACTACCTTGAAGGACTGATACAAGAACATACAATCTCTGTGAATAAATCAGTACTGCAGTAGGGAGAAGTAGTATAGGCTGAATAAAGTGAAGCCAAGGATAAATAGGTAGCATTCCAAGAAAGAGAGAAGGTTGGATCAGTTATGTTGGGAAACAAAACAATAGGACATGTCTATGGGATCTTTCCCCACTTCTAGAGTTGAGATCAACTCTCCTTTGAGTTGGCAGAAAACAATCCAGCCCAGAACTTGGACTCCCTCTCCTTGTGCTTGTCGCTGTGTTTCCAGTCACTGTCAATCCCCCAACTTCCCTCCAAGGTCACGAGTGATAAAGCTACCAGATGTTATATACCTTAGATACTACCAGAAAAAGTGGGAAACCTCTAGTTTAACAGCAGTACAGTTCAGGACAATTTAAGCCTGTTGCACTCATGGGCTTGAAATGAAATGTCATTGGGACATGGTAAAAAAATGTTTCTTCCATAGTTAGGTGCAAGCAGGAAATAGCCCATAAAATCAAAGTGGTAGAACTATGGAAAAATATCAACACACACCATGACAGAAATCTGTAGTAATATCAGGGGAATAAGAAATGCTAGGGCTTTCAAAATATCCTAGTTTCATGAGCAGGCTCAAAAATGCAGTGAACGTGTTTAAGAGTGTGTGTAAGTGGATGGCTGGATGGCTGGATGGCTGGATAGATAGATGGATAGATAGATGGATAGATAGATAGATAGATAGATAGATAGATAGATAGATAGA